GGCAAATCAATGATTAAATCCATGGAGATCACCTCCCACAGCCGTCTGGCATGACTGGACAAACAGGGAAAGATCTTTCCTCATCCTGGGCCACCAGAACTGGCGCTGTAGGAAATGCAACGATTTCACGAAGCCCAAGTGCCCCACCAGTTTGCTGCCATGCACTGCAGATATGACCTCCCCCCGCAAGGCAGACAGCACAAAGAGTTTGTGTCCATGGTACCAGTAGCCGTTCACCCTTTCTTCCACCTCTCCCTCCCTTTCCAGCTCCTTCTGATCAGAGTTTTAAAGGGCAGAGGCGAACTTCATCCCCCCCCCCAGCACTCCCTCGCACTGACGGTCATGTTGAGGTAGGCGGGACAACGAATCCGCTAGAGAGTTGGCTTTGCCTAGGAAATGGTGGAGGGTGAAATTAAACTTAGAGAAGAAATCTGCCCACTGCAACTGTTTAGCATTAAGGTTGCGGGGCGTCCACAATACCTTCAGGTTCTTATGATCAGTCCAGACTTCAAATGGCACCCACGCCCCCTCCAACCAGTGGCACCATGTCAAGAGGGCCAATTTAATCTCCCCTGCTTCCTTGTTCCACACCGACCAATTCCGCTCAGTGTCATTGAACTTGCGAGATACATATGCAAGGAGGTGCAACCTTCTAATCCCCCCTTCTTGCAAAATGGCGCCACCCATGGCAACATCTGACACATCAACTTGCACAATAAAACTTATTTTCGTCGGGGTGTGCTAAAATTGGCTCAGATGTGAACAGAGTCTTCAGCTGATTAAACGCCTCCTGTCATTCAATCGACCACGTTAGCTTGGCACCCAGCTGAGTGCTCTTGGGCCCCTTTCCTTTCGTTTTCAATAGATCCGTGAGCGGTAAGCTCATCTGAGCAAAATTTGCGAGAAAAGATCTGTAAAAATTGGCGAATCCAAGGAACGCTTGAAGCTGCCTCCGGGTGCGAGGCGGCTCCCATCTGTAAAAATTGGCGAATCCAAGGAACGCTTGAAGCTGCCTCCGGGTGCGAGGCGGCTCCCATCCCAGTACATCCTGCACCTTGGCCGAGTCCATTTCCAAACCCCTGGGGGAGATGTGATAGCCTAGAAAATCAATCTTGGTACAATGGAACTCATACTTTGAGAGTTTGGCAAACAGTTTGTGCTTGTGCAATGTGTGCAACACTTCACGCACCAACTTCACATGGAACTATTTGTCGGGGGAGTACAGCAAGATATCATCTAGATAAAGAAGGACCCCCTTGAAGAGGTGCTTGTGCAATACTTCATTGATAAGATTCATGAAGACCCCAGGAACCCCTTGCAGAGCAAAGGGCATCACCCGGTACTCGAAGTGGCCCAGTGTAGTGTTAAACGCAGTCTTATACTTGTCCCCCTCCTTAATCCTCACCCTGAAATATGCATCCCGGAGATCAGGTTTAGAAAAGATTTTCCCCTTAGTCTCCTTGGCCAGGTAAAGGTAAAGGTTCCCTTGCTCGAAAGCCAGTCGAATTCGACTCTAGGGTTGCGGTGCTCATCTCCGTTTCAAAGCCGAAGAGCCAGCGCTGTCCGAAGACGTTTCCGTGGTCATGTGGCCGGCATGACTAAACACCAAGGTGCACGGAACGCTGTTACCTTCCCACCGAAGTGGTCCCTATTTATCTACTTGCAATTTCTTGCTTTCGAACTGCTAGGTTGGCAGGAGCTGGAACTAGAGACAGGAGCTCACCCTGTCTTGCGGCACCCGGGTCTTGAACCGCTGAACTACTGACCTTTCACAGCCTGCAGTTCAGCGTCTTAACCACTTGAACCACCGCAGCTCCCTTGGCCAAGAGGTCCTTAATTAGGGGGAGGGGGTAAGTGTTCGTAGTGGAAACCGCATTCAAGCCCCTATAGTCAGTGCAGAGTCTCAACCCCCCCATCCATTTTCTTCCACTGTGTGACAGAGTGTTGGACTCGAAGGGCCATTGGCCTGATCCAACATTGGCTTCTCTTATGTTCTTATGATGTGCCAGACACCTTATCTTTCCTGAGAGCTTTTAGAGTCCTTGAGTCTCATCTTTCTGTGCTTGACAATGGAGGGGGGATGGTCAGCAGTTACATTTGGTGGGCAAAATCCCAAGGGGTGATTGGTTCTGAACCTTTTAGGGCCCTTGCTTGAACCCTGTATATCTTTTGCTTTTGCACCTTTACCTCAGTTCTAACACAGCTGGTGTACAGGCTGGATACTATCAATGTCTCAATAAACTTATCATCCTCCAGAGTGAATGTTGTTGGAAACTGATTTATCCAGAAGTCTGAAACCCTTGTATTTCTGACCATGGGATTCTACCCAGCATAACTTTAAGTTTGTCAAAATTTGCTTTCCTGAAGTCCAACCTATATGTCTGAATACGTACAGCTTTTCTCTTTCCCAAGACTGTACATTCCAAAATTACATGGACACTACTACCCAGGGTGCCCACTACTTTCACCTCGTCAACCAGTTCTTCCCTGTTGGGAAGAATCATGTCCAAGATAGCGGATCCCCTTGTTTCCCTCTCCACTTTCTGGAAAATATTGTCAGCAAGACGAGTCAAGAATTTATTGGACCTTTCATTTTTAGCAGAGTTGAATTTCCAACCGATATCCGGGTAATTGAAATCTCCCATGACCACTGTAGTAGAGATGGGACTATAAAGATTTCCCCCTTTTTTGATTATTCATATTACTCTGGTTTTTATAGATTTATTCTTAAGTAATAATTTATTAGGATGTTAGAAAGGCCTGTTATATAGAAGGCTTTCCTCTTGTAGATCTGATATTGTTAGCAGACAACATAATAGGTATAGAGTTCATGATTCTGTAGTTCTTAAGGGCAAAACCTTACAATGTCTGGGTCAGAGACGATTTTAGTTTCGTATCAGTAATGAATACTTTTGTTTAGGGTATGAAGAATCCTTGCCCATTATCATTTAGGTTAGGTTAAGTAAACACTTAGGTTTTACTTAGATTGACGTAGATATATGTTTCTTTACATTTGGCCAATCAGAGGATTATTACTCAAATTACCACTGTCTTTTGTAACCAATTATGCTTTTTGAATATTGTTTTCTTGAATATGTCAGTCCATGTATAAAATATCATGTATTTCCTGAATATGTTCAGAATATGTTCAAGAAGAAAATGAAGAAGAAACAGAAGAAAGTTGTCAATTGTTGAGGAGTTATTGGGTCCAATGGTTTTTCCTGTTAATTGAAGCATATTCCCTGAATATGCTGAGAAGAAAGTAGTCAATTTTGGATGGACTATTTGGTCCAACTGTTTTCTTATTAATTGAAATAAAACAGATCTTCCTCCTCATTTGACTTCATTTTTTACATGGAATCTAATATGTACAACACCAGTATATCACATCTCTTTGTGAACTTTGTAATTTGTTCTCGGAGTGTCTCATCCAAATCCTCTGTGTGGCTTGGTGGTCTATAGCAGACCTCCACTATAATATCACTATTATTTCTTACTTCTTTTATTTTTACCCAGAGACTCTCAACTGGACTTTCATGCTCAGATTCATGTATTTCCTCACAAGTATATACCTCTTTTACATATAATGCGACTCCTCCACCCTTCCTTGTCTATCCCTTTTAAATAAATTATACCTCTCAATCCTAATATTCCAGTTGTGAGTGTCATCCCACCAAGTTTCAGTAATGCCTATTAGGTCATAGTCCCCGTCCTGTATTAGGACTTCAAGTTCCTCCTGCTTGTTTCCCATACTCTGCACATTTGTGTAGAGACATCAGAATCCATGTTTTATGCACCCTGAGGTTTTTGTTCCTGTACTTACATGTAAGTTAATGTTATTTAGCATACGTGCCACTCCCCACCAAACTTTAGAGTTTTTATCTCCAGTTACTGGGCTTTGCATTTTTGTCTTGCTCCCCCACAGAATTTAGTTTAAAGCTCTCCTTATTATGTTTGCAAGGCTAGGGTAGTCACAGTTGTGATGAGTGTAAATGGGTGCACAAATATCAAAATGTGATTGAGGCCCCTCTTTGGAAACTTGAGGGAGGGGAGCAAGGAGGATTACATACTCTGCTTCCTTGGGTGGGCAGGATTACAAACTATACAAAGAACAGGAAGCACAACTCAAAGTTGTCACTAATGTATACTATACAACGTTCCACATGATTGCATCAGTGGGAGATGCTCCTTCATCAGCTTGTTGGGATCAACTGCCATCTAGATCTGCTCACTCAAAACAATCCTTGCAGTGACCATCCCACTAGCTGCTTAGACAATCATTATATATGTTATCTAACAATGGATACCCAAGTTCACTCTTTTCCCTCTTCCCTTTTTGTCCCTTTAACCTAGTATATATAATACATAAAACAACATTATTCCAAATTGTAAACAGCCTTGGATGCAATGGCAGAAAGAAATATATAAATGTAATAAATATTCCTGACTGCTCACTACAATCACATGACTGGTTTGAATAAATGCTGTAGTATATGATTGATTCTTTCTGCATGGAACTCCATCTCCTTCAAATTCTTTAGTACTTGGCTCTTCACTACCTTTTCCCCCTGATGCTAATTATTTTCTTGCCTATACTCCTTTCACTTATCTTGTTTCAAATGTCTTGTATGGCTTTCCCTTTCTCTCCTTTGGCGGTAAATGCTTTATTTATTTATTTATTTATTACATTTATACCCCACCCTCCCAGCCATGGCTGGCTCAGGGAGGCTTACAACAGGATAAAAACAACGATAAATAGTATAATAATCATAAATCATGTAACACAACATTAAAAGGTGCTAACAATAAGTAATATCATTAAACAAATTCAGCATTACATTTGGGATGGCGCTCAGGTTTCTATGCCATCCTGGTGGTCGATCTCTTTAGAGGGAGCATTTCTGGCATCCCCTTTTTAAGACTGAACAGGAATAAAAACGTTTGAGATTAGAAAGCATTTCTAGTTAACTGCAGTGCATTGTGCAAGTCTATATACTCACGTTTATCTTCAAATAATGTTTTAGACTTCAGATAGACTTCTGAAGGGTCTAGCTTTGGGGAGGCTGACCTTACAGCAGTGGGTGGAAAAGGCATGGGCTGTGGAACTGCATCACTGATGGCCTCTTGACTTCCAACTGAAGTGTCCTCTATTTTCTGAAACAAATTCAAGCACATAAGTAAAGTAAGCTGTAAAAATTAATACCAAAAGGTTTAAACAAAAGAACTTGACCAAAAGGCACAGTTCAATGAACCGTTTTAAAAAGGATGTTTTCTGTGTAAATATGGAACTAAAATTATTTCATTTCCCTACTTCTTTATTGTTTTGAAACTATTAGCATTTAACTGATGCACATATGATGTTTGGCTATAGGTAAATTTAGCGCTGTTCTCCACTATAGGCTAGAGGGCTATGTTTGTTAAGAATCATTTGTGCTTATGGCTCCCATCTGTTAAGCCAGGTTTGCTTGACAGTAAATTTCTTGTGCAGTTAATCTTTGCTAGCAGACAGCTGACTCTATACATATGGGGACAGCGCAGTAAGCAGAACCCAAAATTAACTGAAAAGTAGTAAATCTAAGAGAAAGTGACCAAATAAATATATCTTGCACATATACGTACTACTATTTCTAAAATGTATGTAGATGCTGTCGTGATTAATAAAAAATACAAATTAATTTAAAAGTGTTACTGAATTGATAGTACATTTTTGTCATATATTTTTTCAATCAATGGATACTAATAGTACAATAATCACCATGTGAGAGTCCATGAAATTGTCTGATGTTAAAATGGAATCCTTTTTAAAAAAGGCTGGGAACCCCTATCCCAGGCCTTAAATTAGGCTGTATGCCAAGCTCTGGCCTTTGACAAAATCATGTGGGATTCCATCTACTAAATTACCTAAAACGTTACACTGTATAATAAGTGTCCCTGTCTTACTATCTTTCCTTAAACTTCAGCTGGATTAATCAGAAAATGCATATCAGCGGATAATTAGTTAACTTTATCCAAACAGCAATGAAAGGGCTGAAAGGTTACATGTTCCTCACTATGAAATTTCATTTGATTAAGCATTGATTTCCCCTTAAATATGCCTTGTTCCGTGATGTAATTGCTTGACATTTTCCTGTATTCAGGATTTTATGCAAGCTGGTAGAGAGTCGTGCCTGAAAGTGAGATCTGGGAAATCTCTAATTCTAATCTTGATGTTGCCCCCAGTGCTGGATGTGGTTTTAGGCAAGGCCTTCAGTCTCTGCTTTCCATCTGTAATGTGAGATTATTACTGAAATAGTCTTAGTTGATAAGTGTGAAAATTTAATTATGAGAAGAATCAAAGTGATGACCAAATTATATTAAATGCATTGGTATGTATGTATGGGTGGATGGCTGACAGGTTTGCTTCCAGGGAGGCCAGAAAAAGAGGCATGAGAAGTCCCAGAATGCAGACAGAGGCTGACAGACATAAATAAAGAGGAACTTCATGTGGGTGACTGATGGACCATTCAGACTTAGAGCAACAGACTGTGCAAGCTAGTACTTTGCTCCTCAGAAAAGGCTTCTGGATTCCAATACAAGATGGTCTTCAGAAATAGGTCATGGACTGAACGGCTGGAAACGGACCTGGCCAGGACCTGATTGCATTAAAGGATATACTGACTGAGCAATTTTAGTCTTTCTAAATCTCAGGTCGGTAAACCTAGTGGTCAACTACCACAGAAGGAAAAAGGGGGCCGGGACTGTTTGCAAAAAAGGTGACACTCAAGGAGGGTGTAATGCTCTGGAAGTGAATTACATAATTGTATACTCTTCCCACCTCAACAGAGGAGTCCAACAGGGCAACACCAGAGATGACAACTGTCCAGACTCCTTCCTCTCCAACATCATCAAACAAGCCTGGCCTGTTGATTCAGTATGCTCATGTGAGTAAAAGGGAATTTAATAATAGGATGCTTAAGATCCCTGTTGATTTAATTTTTTTTCTTTAGTTAAGGAAGTATTATGGTCTCCAGGTTCCTTCCTCAACAATGTAATTCTTCAAAAGCAGTGACCTGAGCACCCACTAGTCTTGGGGCATTAATAATAATTCATTGACAAGAATTAATCAACATTTTAAAATTACTGCCTTACATTACCAGCCTATTTTACTGGTCTATTTGAAGGATTATTGTAATACTGAATGTGAAGAACTTTGGACATCAGTCTGAAGTACTATATCAAACTATACTAAACTATAACTTCTAGAAGGAAGCTTCTGTGTTGATTAGAATAAGATCTAATTTATAGTCCACTAATCTAGATGCAGCCTAGCATTTTTTCTGTTTTGTAAATAATAGCTTCAGCTGCAAGAGTAAATCTCCCCAATTAACCAGGAAAACATTCACAACACTCAATCAGCTTAAAACCTGAAGCTTTTATACCTAAAACTATGAGACAAATAATGATCTTTGTAACTCTAGAAAGAACAGATATACTATTCTAGATTTACTATTGTCATAAGTTTTATATAGCTAGCAGATCTGAAACGTTTGCTCTACAATGAGACAAAGCCTGAAACGAGCTTTTACAAACAGTACTTAGGTTTTTGAAGAAGATCTTGAATAGAATCAGGTCTGCCAAGGAAAAATCCCTTAAGGATTTAACAGTTGGATACTTCTTGTATGTTTATAAACATAAGAACATGCCCTTTTAAAACTCAATTAGCTCACAAAGTAGATGCCACTGCGCATTCAACTATGGTTACTGAATAGTGCCTGTATTTTAATGCAGTTTTCCAAAGATCTCTGAGAGATGAAAAAGTTGCATTAGTCTAACAGCTGATGTGACTACAGTGTTCTTACTCTGCAAAGTCTGAGCCAAGAACATTTTATATTAAGTGATTCTACAGTTTTTGTAAACTATACCTTGTTCTAATAATAGTAGACTACATTTATGTTCTTGAGCTCCTAAAACAAGAACTAATTTATTTGCACAGGTGGATCCAGCATATCCTTTGCTTCTCATACACCATGAAATTACTTGTTCTCTAAAGATTCTTCTACAAAACGAAGGGAATGCATGTGGACCTTAGAGAGTTTAAACAGAAGGGAAAACCCTCTCTCAAATACTATTCTTAAAAAGTAGCTGTTTGATGCTTTTTGCCAGTGTAATTTCTGAGCAGAAGTAATTGCATTTGATCAGCTTGAAGGATCTGAATTTTCTTAAATCCAATCTGATTTTTTTGCTGGATGTGAGTGTTTTGCCAAGACTGGAAACTATTAGGAAAGTCGGATCATGAAAATTATAGAAGAACCCTGCCTGAGTGTCAACTCAAGCTGTTTGAAGGGAATAGTTTTCCATGACACATTCAGCCCTGAAACCTCCATAAAAAGAAACACTTCCATTGAAAACCATGAATTTGTATTAATATTGCAATTTGCATTTGCAAATCTGATTGCAGGAAGCAACAATGAGGATTAACACAGAAAACACAATGCGGGTAAGATTTTGTTCCCCAAAATCTTCTGTGGTCTAACCATGGAGAAAACATACATATTAATGTACACATGAAGCTGCCTTATCAGACCACTGGTTAATCAAAATCAGTATGCGGGGGATTGAATCCAGGACCTCCTGCATGCCAAGCAGATGTTCTACCACTGATCCATAGCCCCGCCTCAAAAAGCAAGCCGGACAAGTTAAGTTGAACTATCAGGTGCCAGGATACGTTATATAGCTGTACTAGAATACAGATAAATATTTTATATTTGCACCTGGGAACACTGGCAAGAGGTCCACAGTAGTGTTTACTCACTGAAGAGTAAAGTTCTTCATACCTTCATCATTCAACTAATCACTAATCCTGAGAAAAACTGTTCTTACAATGATACAACTGCTTTAAGTTTTGTCCCCAAATGACTCTGATTGTTTAGCACAAAATCCTCCTTCCTTCTCTTGGGCTGTGGCTTTTGATATTCCCATCTCCAAAGTGAAACAGACAAAGAGCCGTTAAACAATTTGCATTAGGTAGAACAAAGGGAAGTAGATCACTAAATCAGCAGCCTTTCCTTTGCTGTCTACCCTAAGAAACAGCAGCAATCAAGAGCCACAACGAAGTTGAGGGAATTAGTGAACCTAGTCATCCTCTCAAATAGATTTTAGAAGGTAAACAGATGAAGAACAAATATCTGTATCGAATTCAGTAGAGGTGTAAGACTGTATTTTTAAAAACCTGAAGAAAAATAATCCACCAGCACAACATCTCTTTATCCAAGTACAAGCAAAGTCAGTATAGGCTTGCAACTACATGATGACTTAAAAAAAAGTTAATACAAAAATCTCCTTCCAAAAACCAGTGAGAAGTCAAAAACAGTTATATTTTTCACTGTCCTCTATGCATAAATGGTAATCAGCTAAATATGTCAAAGAAGCTGGTGTGAGGATCAAGTAGAAGGTTCAACAGTACCCATAACAATTTGTCTGCTGCCAACAAAAGTCCGCATGGTCAAAGCAATGGTATTCCCAGTAGTCATGTATGGCTGTGAGAGTTGGACTATAAGGAAGGCTGAGCGCTGAAGAATAGATTCTTTTGAACTATGGTGCTGGAGAAGACTCTGGAGAGTCCCTTGGACTGCAAGAAGATCAAATCAGTCAATCCTAAAAGAAATCAACCCTGACTGTTCCCTGGAAGGCCAGATAATGAAACTGAAGCTCAAATACTTTGGCCACCAAATTAGAAGGGAGCACTCACTGGAGAAGACCCTGATGCTGGGAAAGATTGAAGGTCAAAGAAGACAGGGACGGCAAAGGATGAGATGGTTAGACAGTGTCATAGATGCAACGAACATGAAGTTGAGCCAACTTCAGAGGACGGCGGAAGACAGGAAGGCCTGGCGGGATCTGGTCCATAGGGTCGCAAAGAGTCAGACTCGACTGTGCGACTGAACAACAACAAATTTATCTTTTTCCTTTCTGCGCAACAAATGCAGTCAGTTACAGAAACCCTTATCAATACTTACATTATCAATACTTGCAACATTGGAAGATTTAGCAGGTGAGGAAGGTCCTAAAATAGAGAATAAATATTAATATAACCCAATGTACTACTTTCTACAGTTTTATAAATTCTCTACACTAGAATTTATGGGTTAGGGCTTTGTATTACAAAAGTCTTATCATGGTAAACTTAAAAACTCTTTTCAATTGCAAGTTATCCTGAAACACCATATTCCTACTAAATCAAGTACAATGGCATAATATATTGTTGTAGAAATTAACTTACAAAACCCCTCGCTGTTCATGGATCTCCTGACAGAAATCATAATTATGTATGATGCAGTAAAGTCAGATTACCCAATGAAGTAGCAAGAAGACTGCAAAATACAGATCTGTGAGGACACGATTTAACAACATTTCAGCCACAGGTAATACCAACTTCCTGAAAGCTTCATAGGTAAACTGTTAGGAGAAAAAAAAAATCTGTGGACCTGCTAAGGCACAGCACTATTTCAGTTTGTTTTAATAATGGAAAGGTTTTCTTGTTTTAAGTACAGTAATATGAATTATCTATATATCTAATAGCCAAGTTGCCCCCTCTGTGCGGATATCTAAATCCCCACATTGGGGGCACTTGGGGGGGCAGAGAGATTTTCCTGCACACTTGGAGCAGTCCCCAGGTGTGCAGAAAAATCTAAAATGTTGAAAAAACTATACAGGGGATACTTAAATCTCCCCCCAAAGTAAAAGAACATTCCCTGCACATGAAGTTGTCTTGCTGCCGCTGCAGTTTCTGCAGGCCAGGAGCTGTGGGGAATATTCCCCTCCTGTGAGTACCGCGAGTCCCCCTTCTTGTATATATAGATTTTCAACTATTATGTAGAAGAAATAGGATTTTTGCATCCTGCACTACTCAATAACTGTCTGGCACATTTATGCAACATTTCTACAAAACATAAAGCACTAATATTGAAGGACAACTTAACAATTAGAAATACATAGTTTTAATTTGATCTCTTGCTCCCACAGAAATGTAAACAAATGTCTATCACAGATAAGCTACTTCAGGTATGCAATTCATAATATAAATGAAGAACCCATTAAAGAAATCAAGCTCATACAAGCTTACTTCATAACTGACCCTTAAAGAAGTGGAATTAAAAAGCAAAAAATAAAAACAGATAGTTGATTGAATGCAAATGACATCCTCCCACACAAGAACTCACACGCTAGAATCTTAACTGGCAGAGCTCAAAGATTAATCTTTGATATAAGCATGCTAATGATCTATACGCCTGTGGGCAAATGTCATAGATCATATAAGTGTGGGTGAACACATAAATGAGAGAGATAACCTCACAACCGCAAGTGATACCACTTACAGAAACTATATTTGGAAAAGGGTTCTGGCTGGTGTTATTTTCTATATCTGCAAGTGCAGAAACGTAGACAGCACTATAGAATGCAGAATTCACATCTACATTTCTAATGGGATCCAGACTAACTTTCCTAATGGAAGGGGTCCTGCCTTCCTGCTGCAAACCTCCATTTGCTTCTCTTGTGGCTCCTGAGGGTCCCCCTTCCCCATGAGCAGAATATCTGGGGGATCAGTGGGCTGTACCAGGAGTAGGGGGAGGGGGGCAAGAATGTTTTGTTCCACTGACAGAAGTGCCCTGCATGAGTGGAAATTTTAGTCTGATCAATGCTCCCTCTAAGCTGTGGGATCTTGTGAGCAAAAATTCTACTTTGTGAGCAACTGGAACTAAAGTTGTGAGCAAGTGATTAGGCTACTGAATAAATTAGTTTGCTCTGGAGCCATCCTTCCTGAGCTAAGACAAAAATGTGTGAGCCGGAGGATAAAAAACAGTGAGCTAGCTCACACTAACTCAGCTTAGAGAGAACACTGGTCTGGATCCAACCCAATGTTTTAAAAGCAGTATAAAGAAGCCTTTTGTAAACATCTCCATTTTACGATACATAATTTTTTTTACCCACCTCCCCTTAAGATAAGAAGTGGCACTTCTCCTCCAACCGGAAACTGCTTTAGTACTTCCACCACTTGGAGATGTGTCAAGTTCTGCACGTTCTGATGATAAATCTCTTTAATAATATCACCTTTCTGAAGACCATGGCACCACTGGCTGTCTAAAATCATCTTCACCTTCTGTCCTGCAGGGCTATCAGCTATTGCGAATCCAAAACCTTTAGGGCCTTTAATTAGAGGAATTGTAATCAGTTCTGCCTGAGAGCATCCTGAAGAAGACATTGACACCCTCTGTTCACCAAGGTCCGTTGAAGGGCCATTTAGCCGACCGTTGACCAAAATATGCCCTGGTTTCCCATTCTGGTCCAAAACCACTGTTCCAGGTATTAACTCTTGATTAATCATGCAAGTATCTCCTTTTGGTATTGGCTGACCATTTAAGACAGGAGTAGCAGTAACAATGTCTACAACACGGTCCTCATTTTCATCAGGAAGTGGGTATCCACGACACAAAGTCATATTCACATACTGGTTGACAGGAACTAACTGAAACATCTGGACAACATCAGCATGTGTGTGGCCAAGGACACATGTACCATTTATGTCTACAATGACATCTCCTAGGAAAAAAGTGAATAGAACAGCATTAATATAAATAAAATAGTTTCCATACTTCAGAATGATTAGTATCTTTTTAGTAACCTCACCGAGGAAAAGCAGTGGGATCAGCTCAGAATTATACTATCAGAGATTGTACCATTTCTTCGTGCACATATGTTACAAAAGAAGGATTTCCTACTGCGTTTAATCTGTTAAGAACAAAGAGCTCTAAATATGTAAATCTGAAGCAGATCAAGGGAATCGCCATCCCATATGCGTGTTCATTGTACACACCAGTCAGACCCAATCCAAAATACATCAGATTACTCCTGTAGTACTAGATTTACTGAGCCTCTCACATTAAGATTTTTCGCATTGACATAGTTCATTAAAAATTCTACCTTAGAACAGAACAATATATACGGGCAATTATACAGAAGGAAAGTCAGTTTGCATTAGATCCTGCAAATTTGTCAAATCACATTCCAAACTAATGATGGACAAGTTTATAACCACCACTCTTGATAATCAACTTATTGTCTCTATGATTATTTTATAGTGTAAATGTTCACAATTCTTCTGATTTAAAGATCTAAAACATCTACTGAGTATGACAGAGAATAATTAGGTCACAGGGAATGATGAAGAAGAAAATAACTCGGAACACACACAAAAAAGAAGGCAACACCCTTGTAACTAAAAATGAAAGAAAAGTCCGTATCTCAACAAAAAGAACAAAGATCACTGTGAAGAATGACTTATACAAACTGTTTTCTTGCTACTGTGTTTGTACCAGTCAGAAGGTGAATGAGAGGAAAGGTGTTTGGCCCACTCCTCAAGGCATGGTTAGAGTGATCTCTGTAGCTGAGAGGAAGACCAGAAAGACAGGTGCCTGACAGGGCTCCAGAAGATTCTAGAGACTGCTCCACACAGGTGCATAATTCACATATATGGGAAAGCACAGCAATTACAAAGAACTGACTAAAGTTACTAGAAATAAATAGGCCAAGACAGAAGTGCTACTGGTATGCAGAAGGTCTAACCTGGGATTTAAAGTGTCACCCATTCTGGCTGGAAAGGACTGCATTCCCTTGAAGGAACAGTTCTGTAATCTGGGGGGTGCTCTTGGACACAGGCCTACTGCTGGATAAGCAGGTGACAGCTGTGGCCAGGAATGACTTTACTAGCGTCAATTAGACTAGTTTCTGAGGCTCGACACAAGGATGAGTCTCCACTCCCCAATTCAGGTCAGAGTCTGCTAACTTTAGTAGAGTATCCTAGCTAAGAACCTCCCTTTTTCTTCAGTGGCTGAATTTGGCTTCAACTAGTTAGCTAGTTGTGGCCTCTCCTGGGCAGAAAGGATCTGGCCACTGTGCCAGATCAACTGTACGTGGAGCGGCCCTTGAGAAATGCTTTGAAATTTCAGTTGGTACAGAATGCTGCAGTCAGAATGTTGACTGGAGTGGGTTGTAGGGATCTTTCACTCCATTCTTACCTCATCTACACTGGCTCCCAGTTTCTTTTCAAGCACAATTCAACCTACTGTTGTTGACCTTCAAAGCCCTATATGTTTTGGGACAAACATACCTGAAAGACCACCTTATGAACCTGGCCTGACAACTGCGGTCATCTTTGGAGGCCGTTTCAGTTGCCCTCATTTTCTAAGATTAGGTTAGTGGCAACCCAGGGCCTTCTTGTCACAGCACCAAAGCTCTAGAATTCTCTTCCCAGGGAGATTTGTCTGTCCCCTTCTGTTGCCATCTTCTTCCAGCAGGTGAAGAGGTTTTTTTTGTTTCATTTGGCATTCCCTCATTGATCCCTCCTTCCTAATCAATGTTTTTATCCTTTGTAGGCATTTTAATTCTGTTTTGTATGCATTTAAACTCTTTTTAAAAACTTTGTTTCTAAATTATTTTAATGATGTGTATTTGAGGGGGGGGCTGATTTTAACGGTTTTAAAATATAATTTTATCATGAATGTTTTAAATTGTTAGCTGCCTTGGTGGCCCTTGTAAGAACAGAAAGGTGGGACATAAAATGCTGTAAACAAACAAACAAAATTAACCAAACATGGCCCATAAGTTTCAGCTACACAGAAATATTAAAGAACAGCAATTTTCCTAAAAAATAAAAATGTGTCATAAATAGAATGTTTTCCTCCTACGACATCTGTGTTGTTGTCATCTCTTAACATTTACAATTCTGCTTGTAGCAGCAATCACAGAAAAGACCTTTATGTAATTTAATTTTTAATTCCTATATTGAAACTTTTCCTGTTTTTACCATATATGTTTATCAGGAATGAAGACAATTCAGAGAATGCAGCAATTCTAAGGTTCTGACAGGTATTTAGAGATAAAACCAGGAACAATTTTGCTTTTTTTAAAAAGTAGTAGTGGAACACATCTGAAACATTGTGCAATCCTTGGAAACTGATCACAAAGATGTTCCATAGATGTGTTTTCAACCTTAGCCCTAGCAAACACATTTTTTTGCATCTGGCAAGAACCACTGTCCTTCTTTGGAGTCTGGAGAAGGATGGGGGCTCTCCTTGACCTTGTGCTGACCTCAGAGAGGCTGAGAAAGCTATTTCGTTGCTTTCTGAATGTTTCTGAGGCTCAACTCAAGGATGATTCTCTGCCATGAGCAATGATGATGGCGCTCTCGCCCGAGTTAACATCGCAGCTAGAGGTATCAGCATTGCCAGAACCAGAAGCCAGCCCCTGACTCCTCACAAGTTGATAGCTTGCCAGCACCTGAGCCTATAAACCCCGCACCTGGTCCTGCAGCAGCCGAGGAGGCACAGGTGCAATCAGGGAGCCCGCCTGATTCACCTCCGCGGGTGGTTCAGCTAAGGGAGTGGCTCCGCAAAGACTTAGCCACCTGCCGTCGAGATACACACTGGCAGAGAAGGGGAGCTCCAAGTCCTGAGTATTAGCAGGAGCACTGCCACTGCCACGGGAAGCCCGGCAAGAGGCCTATATAACTCCCACTCAGCATTGGGCTCTCGTAGAAGCAATGAGTCACCTCCGTGCGTGCCTCACATCCACCTTTGGCTCCTGTCCTCAGACCTCCACTCTGACTTGGATTCCTGGCTCTCTGACCCCTGCTTTGGATGACCCCTCTTTCGGACTCAAGATTTGGCTTTTGCTCTGACTCTTTTGGCAACAACCTGAGATCAGACTTGACTTCTGTCTCTCATCCCAAGCCCCGCCCGTGACAGTCTCCACTCCCCATTAGGGGTGTGCGGAGGGGGGGGATGTTTTCAGATTCGGGCATAATAAAGCCGATTTCCCCCCCCAGTATTCCCGAATATACCTGAATACCAATACCAGTATTGTATTGGTACCCGAAAATATTCAGCTCCATTATATCCTATGGGGCCACTGCAGCAAAAATCTTCTAATGAGTATTCCGTGGGCTGGGGGGGGAAGGGGTTTGAGGTAGAGGAACCAAATTTGTACTGTACCTGCTGGAGCCTCTCCCCAAAAGAACCCCAAAGCTTTGAAAAGATTGGACCAGGGAGTCCAATTCTATGTGCATCCAAAGAGGATGACCCCAATCCTCCATTGTTTCCTATAGAAGGGGGAAAAGGCAGGCAAGCAGTGTCTCCGAGAGAATCTCTGCACTAGAAACTAAGTGAGGTATGGTGTGAAGGGGCATGCTTGCAAGGCCAGCAGCAGAACCAGTGCAATGTGCCCCCTAAAACCAGTGACACTGTGGCAGTCAGTGCCCACACCAAACAGGACTCAGGTCAAATCTGAGAATCTCTGCAATATACACTGAGGGGGCATGTTTGCAAGGCCAGCAGCAGAAACAATGTGATGTGGCCACCAGAAACAGTGCCACTGTGGCAGTCAGTGCTCAAACCCAACAGGACTCAGGTCAGTCTGAGGATCTCTGCAGTATAAAAGGCCTGGAAAGAGACAAAAATGGCATGAAAAAGAAGGTAAGTGGAGCCCTTTAAAGTTTAAAGCCTCCCAGAGCCCATATTCGGCAATGTTGAAAAAAGCCGGAAAAAAGCTGAAAACCCGAACCCTATTTTGGGGGGAGTGGTTGGCATTCAGTATTCGGCAACTGAATCAGATCAGAAAATCTGATTCGGTATGCCAAATATCCGAAAAATGTTGAAAAGGCATTTTTCCGAGTTTTTCCAGTTTGGTTTTACTGAATGCACACCCCTACTTCTCCGATTGAAGTCAGCGAGTCTGCTGAGTTCAGTATAGTATCCTAGCTGAGAACTCCTTTTCCTTAAGTGGCTGGGTTTGGCCTGGCTACCATGGCAGGGGAAATTTTTGGATTTTTTCTCAGCAAATTATTTTATGGTTCTCTTATTTTTTTTATTTAAAACGTTTATTGGCTACCTTTCTACCTTATAGAAACTCAAGGCAGCTTATAATGTAAATAATAATAAAATACAATAAAATACATAAAAACTACTAGTTTAAAACGACAATTTAAAACTATTGGTAACCAGCAGAACTAATCAAATGCCGTGATTATCATATGCCTCCTAAAAATCAAGAGTGAGGGGGCCAGGTTGTACCATAATCGTGGGGATGCCACTGAAAAAAGGCCTACTCTCATGTACAAACCAGATAAGCTTCTTTGGACAGTCAAGAAAGCCTCTCCCTGTGATATTAGTTCTCAGGCAGGAAAGTATGTGAGAAGACAGTCCTTCAGATATCCCGGCACCAAGCCATGAAGACCTTTAAAGGTCAAAACCAACACCTTGAATTAGACTCAGGAGTGGACAAGAAGCCAGTATAATTGCTGCAGGACTAGGGTCACATGATCATGGTAACTGACCCCAACTGACCCCAACATTCTGCACTAGCTGCAGCCTGTGAACACTCTTCAAGGGTACCCTCAAATATATTTATTTATTTATATTTACATTTATATCCCGTCCACCCTGTGAACAGGCTCTGGGCGGCTTACAGGAGATGGCTGACAGGCCGATACAAATAAAACAATAAAAATATTAAAATCCCTTAAAAACAACCTTAACAATAAAGTG